TGGGTCGGGGCTACTGCTGAACAGGGCTTTCCCGTAATAGATCAAAACGGTGCCACAGAGTACGGCACCGGTGTTTTGCAATTCAATATTCACAATGGTGTGCGACAATCAGTAGCCACCTCTTACCTGGAGCAGTCCAATATATGCCCCAAACTTGATATAATAGCAGGAGCGTTTGTCACTAAAGTACTCATCTCTGGCCACCAATCAACCCATCCGACTGCATATGGCGTCGAGTTTGTTAAAAATAATAAAAAATATGTGGTAAAAGCAAATAAGGAGGTGATTGTCTCCGGAGGTATTGTATTGTATTCTAGATTTTACATTGATTTACTTATGCTATGACAAGTGTAATAATATTTGTTATACAATTTTTTAATTGAATCACCCAGGCACGTATAGTTCGCCACAAATTCTAATGCTCTCAGGTGTTGGCCCCCGGGATGAGCTCCAGCGGCTGGGCATCGGACCCGTTTGGGCAGACCTACCGGTCGGACAGTACATCCAGAATCACGTGGGAATTGTGATACCAATGATTATCAAAAACACGACATATGTGTTGCCGGCGCCCGACCCTAATGTGGAGCAGTTATACGATGTGACCACTAATAAAGCCGGACCACTACTGGTACTACCTATCACTTTTCTTAATATGAACTCTAGTGTTAACACCAACTGGGAATACCCCGATCTAACCATATCGAGTCAAGTGATCAATAGGGGTGGTCTCAGTTACACTAACATCGCCCCAATGGGCGTCCGGGTAGACGAGTGGGCCAAATACTTTCAGGACATACTAAACGTCGACTCACTTGACGTGTTGCCAATCCTGACCCGACCCAAGAGTGTGGGTCAGATACGGCTGCGATCCGTTAATCCCATGGATTTACCTATTATTGAAAACAACTATTTTGCTCATCCGGACGACATTCAGGCCATATTAGACGGCATTTCCTACGCCTACTATTTGGCTGAAGAGACATCCGCATCGAAACTCATTGATATAAACCCACAGCCAATACCCGGCTGTCAATACTGTCCGACGGGTCCGAAGTGGCGGTGCGTTTCGTATCACAGGTGTGTTATACAGCAAAGAGCGCTGAGCTTTCATCACACGACCGGCAGTTGTCGTATGGGCGGCGCCG